TAACAACCCTAGCAATATTGACTAATGCATGTTAGAACAAACTTCGACTACAACATGCATTACTCGCGAACAGACTTCGACCACACTAGAGATCGCTCCAACATCTCACAAATCTCCACCTTGGATCTAACTCTATAACATCAAGAAACTAGCTTTCTTCATGCAACTTTATTAATTGCATACAGTGAAAAAACTTGCAACTGGGCAACGTCTTGGTGATCATATCATCAGAATTATGATCTATCGAAACCTTCAGCACTTGTACTTATCCACGCTCGATTACCCATCTGACGAAATGCAACCTCACATCAATGTGCTTGGTTCGCTCGTGATAGGCTGAATTCTTCGACAGGTGTATTGCACTTTGACTATCACATTTAACAATGATAACTCGACCTTGAAGTTTTAGCTCCTTTGCAAAACCTTCGAGCCACAATGCTTCCTTCACAGCTTCAGTTAGGGAAATATACTCCGCTTTAGTTAGGGAAATATACTCCGCTTCAGTGGTTGATAAGGCAACGACCTTATGAAGTGTTTCTTTCCAACTGATTTTTATTCCAAACATAGTGAACACATATCCAGAGATAGATTTTCTGGAATCCATACAACCTGCATAATCAGAGTTGACATATCCTTCGATTGCTGCTTTACTATCTTCACCCAAAACTTCACCATAAATTAGGACTCTATTCAGAGACCCATTTATGTACCTTAAAATCCAATTCCATGCTTGCCAGTGAATCTTTCCAGGATTCGCCTTGTACCTGCTTACAAGACTTACTGCATATGCTATGTTGGTTATAGTACATACCATATCATACATCAAAGAACCTACTATGTTAGCATATGAAATGCTATTCATATAAGTTCTTTCAACATCAATGCTGAGACACTGATATATACTCAACTTGAATTAAGGTTTTGTCGGAGTCACAACAGGCTTTAAATTCGACATACCAAACTTTTTGAGAACCTTCTGTAGATATGCCTCTTGAGATAAGCATAATTTCGACTGGTTTCTATCTCTCCGGATGTCTATCCCAAGAATCCTGGACGCAGCTCCCAGATCCTTCATGTCGAACTCTTTATTGAGTTCAACCTTCACCCTCATTACATCTTCGACATTATTGCTTGCTATTAGAATATCATCCCCATAGAGCAACAAAATAACAAATGAATTACCCGGTCGAAATCTGAAGTAAACACAATGGTAGAACTGACTTCTGATGAAACTTATGCGTGCCATGAACTTGTTGAGTCTCCTATTCCACTGTCGAGGAGATTATTTCAGTCCATATAAGGATCTATTCATCTTGCACACATAATCTTCCTTCCCTTTTTCGACATACCCTTCAGGTTGCCTCATCAGGATTGTATCATCTAAGTCACCATACAAGAACGTAGTCTCCACATCCATCTGTTTCAGTTCAAGGTCGAACTGTGCCACTGTGGCAAGCAACATTTGAATGGATCTATGCTTCACAACAGGAGAGAACACATCATTGAAGTCGATACCTTCTTTCTTAGTGAACCCCATAGCAACCAATCTTGCATTGTATCTCTTCGACGCCACTCCTTCGATTCCTTCCTTAACTTTGAAAATCCATTTACAACTGACTAACCTGGCTCCAACAGGTTTCTTGATCAGTTCCCAGGTGTTGTTATCATGAAGAGATTTCATCTCATCATCCATGGCCTTCAGCCATTCAGTCTTCTTTCGACTCCTCATAACTTCCTTATAGTCTCTAGGTTCTTCATCTAGAACCTCACTACCAGAGATTAAGGCATAAGTTATAAGATCTGCATAACCAAGTCTCTGAGGTGGCTTGATGACTCTCCTCGACCTGTCTCTTGCTAGCAGATAGTCATTATCAGTTTCCTCATCTTCGACAACATCTTTTGCGTCTTCTTCGACTTCATATGGGGTACGCAATTTAGCATCAACATGCCCCAACTCAACATGAATCTCTCCCTATTCCAGCTCTTCGTCAGCATCATTAGTTTTCTTGAAAGTCATCTCTGCTTCATTGAAAACTACATCTCGACTGGTGATACACCTCCTGTGACCTGGATCTAGGCACTATAGCCTATAAGCTTTGACTCCTTCAGGGTATCCCATGAACATGCATTTCAGAGCTCTAGGTTCGACCTTGTCTTGCCTAATGTGAGCATAGGCCACACAGCCAAATACTCTCAGTATGTCGAGACTAGGTGGATGTCCCAACCAAACTTCTTCAGGTGTCTTCATTCCCAAGGCAGTCGAGGGGCATCTATTTATCAGATAAGCTGCTGTCGAAACAACTTCCTCCCAAAACACCTTCTTCAATCCAGCACTAACCAACATGCATCTAACCCTTTCAAGGATTGTTCGATTGAATCTCTCAGCTAAGCCATTTTGTTAATGAGTACCTGCTACAGTCTTATGCCTTGCAATCCCAGACTTAACACAGTAATTGTCGAACGCTTCATTGTAGAATTCAAGGCGATTGTCGGTTCTCAACCTCTTAACCTTTCTTCCAGTTTGAGTTTCGACCAGAATCTTCCAACTTTTGAAATTCTAAAAAGTTTTATCCTTCGTCTTCTGAATGAATACCCATAGCTTTCTAGAATAGTCATCAATGAGGGATAGAAAATACCTTGCACCTGAGTGTGAAGGATTCCTTGTAGGCCCCCAAAGATCAACATGAATGTAATCCAGGGATCCACGTGTTCTTTGCTTGCCTTTGTTAAACTTCGTCCTACATGATTTACCAAATACACAAGATTCACAAAACTCCAACTTTTCGACTTTGTCACCTCCTAGCAGGTTCTGCTTTTCCAATTCGACCAGGCCTCTTCCGGTGACATGGCCCAATCTCATGTGCCATAATTTTATCTTCAACACAGGTTTCGTGGATGTAACATTTGTCGAACCACTTACAACCTCAGCCTCAAGGGTATACAGGCCTTGTTTCTTCACGCCTCTCAAGACTTCCTTCGACCCCTTCATAACTCTTAGGATACTTTTCTCTCCTTGAAAAACATATTCCTTTATGTCGAATTCACCAAGAGAAATCAAATTTCTCTTCAAGTCAGGTACATACCTAACTTCAGTCAATAACCTTATTACTCATCATGGAGCTTGAATCTCACATATCCAATACCTGCAATTTTGTAAGATTTGTTGTTTCCGAGCAGCACAGATCCACCATCTTGATCACATAGCTCCTCGAACAATTCTTTGTTTGGAGTCATGTGCCAAGTGCGACCTGAATCCATAATCCACTCTTTTCTCGAGTCGCCACTTGAAACCACAAGAACATCAGTTGAGTCGAAGTCATCTTGAACAATGGTTGCGTTGCCATTACCTCCATGATCTTTCAGGTGTTCAGTTTCTTATGTAACCCTCTTTCTTATAGTGATAACATTGAATACCAGATGTTTCGCTACTATAAGACTTCTGTTGACTTTTACCTTTCTTCTTGTCGAACTTACCATCCTTTCACAAGAATTTTCCCTTAACGGCCAAACCTTCGCCCACCGTCGAAGGTTTATGCTCTTTTCTTTCGTTCAAATCCTTAGAATACAAGGCTGGTTGAACTACTTCAAAGGTCAGAGACTCCCTTCTGTACAAGAGAGTTTCTTTGAAGTGAGCATGTGTTCTGGGCAAAGCACACAGCATCAACAGTGCTTGATCTTCATCATCGATCTTCACTTTAATATTTTCAAGATCAAGAATCAGCTTGTTGAACATATTCAACTGCTCAGCCAACACTTTGTCTTCACTCATCTTGAATGAATACAATGCTTGCTTCAGATAGAGTCGATTCACCAGAGATTTGATCATGTACAAACTTTCAAGTTTCACCCATAATCCCGATGTTGTAGTCTCCTTTGATACCTGTCAAAGAACCTTATCACCAAGGCTAAACAATATTGCGTTGTGGGCTTTCTCGTTCATGCCCGTCTTTTCTTTTGCCGTTAACGCAACGTCCATGGCTGCCTCACCCTTCAACGCTTCCAAACAATCCTGTTGAACCAGCATGGCTTTCATCTTCAAGCGCCACAGACCGAATTCGTTCACTCCGTTGAACTTTTCAATCTCATACTTTGTTGAAGGCATCTTCTCCATGTTCACTGCACCAATTTGTTGTGAATCGGATGCCTTATAACAAAGTATAAACGGTTTCTTAATGATCAAGAAACACACAAGGGTTAGGGTTAATAAAGAAGACAAGGTAAAACAACAATGAACAACAAGGATTGGTTATTAAACTGCTATTCTTTCTTTTCTCTTAGAACAAGATTACAAGTATACAAGAATAACAAAATAACCTCTCTCTCTTGAAATTAGGATTTTATCTTCCTATTTTTCCTTATGATAAGATTGAGAAACTAACATCCTATTTATAAGAAAAATAACACACTAATCTAATGTGTTTTTTAATAATTACCCATTACAAGCTAACTTAGGGTACAAGCTAACTTAGGGTACAAGCTAACTTAAACAATTTGCCTTACAAGCAAGACCCAATTTAACATGCTAACAACCCTAGCAATATTGATTAATGCATGTTAGAATAAACTTCAACTATAACACGCATTAATCACGAACAGATTTCGACCACACTAGAGTTCGATCTAACATCTCACAAATCTCTTGTATTATTATTGTGTTTCTCTTTTTTATATGTTTTGTTTTTCGTAACAAACTTGTCCGAACTCAAAAACATACCTTACTTAAGAAATATTTTAAATAAAAAATTGGATACTACATAATCTACTAAACATGTTTAATAAGAGCAAAGTGCTTTAAATAAAAGATCCTAATTCTACAATAGAAAATTGATATGTAATTTTTCAGTAAGATTGTTAATAATTTAAAAATCATCCGTTTCATTAGCTCAAACCAAAGAGCTCCCTTCTATTTCATAAAAAAAAAAATTAGAAAAACATGTTTTCCATTAATTCAAGTACACTTACTCAAATGAATATCAGCCAGCGCCAGCCGGAGACCTTAACTATACCCTTTCAATTCCACAACGACCATTGATTTGTGTGTCGACAGAAATGGCCAACTGAAAGGAATGTTGATCGTTGAGCTCAGTACGACAAACAGGACAAGTGACATGTGAAGAAAGCCAAGCATCAATACATGAAGGATGAAAGAAATGTTTGCATTGAGGTAAAACACGAACAGTGTCATTGTCATTGAAGTCAGAAAGACACACAGCACATGGTAGAGGACCTTCATCACCTTCTTTAAGATGTTTGGTAATGGAAGAGTACAATAAGATTGGGAAAGTTTGAAGAAGTTGAGGATTTATACCAATGTCATTTTCAGAATTCGGTGTCTCTTCTAAGTTGTTTTGTGAGGATCTGAAACGGTTTAGGAGCCATACAAAGATGAAAACTAAGAGAATTGTTGCAATGACGCCTTCAAGAATTACACCAACTGACGACAGGTCCCATAAAGTTTCCATTAAGTCGTCGGGAGACGATGACTGTGCCTCTGCAGTACAATACTGATGAGCACAAACAAGGAAGAAGATGATAATGGGTAACATTTTTTTTTTATTTCGAAAAAATACAAATGAATGAATGAAAGAAAAAATGAATCAATGTGGTGTAAGAATATCGATGTCGATGCGGATATGCGTATATTTTATTTTATTATTTTTTGCAAATGAATATTTTCTATTTTTTGTGAGTTAGATATAGGCTAATATATTCTAGAACGATTTTTATTTTTAGAAAAGTTAATTTATATTAAAAATATTGACTAATTTAAATTGGTAAAATATAAATTAAGAAATATAAATTTGATTTTGTGTGAATCAGAAAAGACGCATTTGTAAAAGAATTCAAAGCATCTAAATTTACTACAACATTTCTTAAATGAATATAAATAAATGGACGGGTGAAGTAATTCTTAAATTGCCTACAACATTTATTTTTATTTTTTTTATAACATACTAATATAAATAAATTACTAATATTCTTAAATGAATAATATTGTTTAAAAACAAATAGTATAAAATAAAACAAGATATTCACAAAAAGAACAAAGTCAAGTGCAACAATGTGATATTTAAACAATAATATATTCAAATTTAAAAAAAATTATGTTATCGGTTAAATAAATTTCAATATTTTTAAGACAAATATAATTAATATAACTAATTTCCATAATGATATTTTTTTTATAATACTTTAAAACTTATAAAAAATATAACAGACATTTAAAAATAATTGGATAAAAAGAAATATATGGAAAAACAAAAAATTTTGGCAAAATTAAAAATAACTAAATAAATACTATGCACTAAATTATGAAAAAAATTTACCGACAAAATCACTAAGATCTCTACATCTATAATAATTTTTAAAAGATAATATCACACGGTGTAATGGTATGTTTTTTTATTGATTTGACAATTCCATGTTTGCAATGATTAATTTTATGTCATCTTTTATTATACGTTTTGTGGATTGATAATTATTTTTTTATTTTAATTACAATAAAAATGTAAATTAAATAAAAAAAACTAAATTAAATTAATTTAAAATTTTATAATATGATTTTTTCAAAATGACTTTTTTAATTATAGGACTATTTTTAAAAAAATTTAAAAATTAATTATCAATGATGATTTATATAAATAAAATTTTGTTGTTGGGAGTGGTTGAGCCCTGACCGCATGAAAGAAAAAAACTGATGTTTGTCAACTGAGTTATGAAAGCATTCATATTGAAATCAAGGTTAGTTGGTTAAGAGCGTGATCTACTATCTATCTATAACAATTCTATCCATAACAATTCAATTGCATGTTTGACCTAAATTACCCTTTTCTATTCAAAAAAGTTACACTACTAAAAGGGCTTATCAATAAACAACAAATGCACCAATTAAAACCCTCCTCCATATCACATTACGAAACACGTGTCAATTTTTTATTGACCTAATTAATCAACTTTTCCCCTAAAACCACACTTTCTCCCATCCGACCTATATACTTCACTTGACACATTCTCTGTTAAAAAAGTAGCTCATTATCTCATTTTCTCTCCAACATGGCATTCTCCCAAACAAGAGTCTCTATGTCTATCTCTTGCTCTGCTACTCATCTCATCAAACATTATTTGCTTCCAAGGTTAGATCTATTATTTTTTTCTTCTATTAATAATGTTTGTTCTTCTTTTTTTGTTATCATTAAGCCTCATGTTTTGAACTAAAAGTTTGTTCCTTTGTGTTATGATTTTTTATACTTTTAGATACTTTAACTTTCCACGTTTCTCTCCTAAATCATGCATTTGTCATTTTCTTTGATTATGTTTGAAAACAAACTCCTGAAACTAAAAAATCATTCTTAAAACTTGATTTTGATATGGTTTGTTTAACTGCATTTCATCATATTTGCTTAATGATTTCATCATAACTCAAATACCGAACAACCATGATTTTCATTTCTATTTTCATCTCGTCTGTAACTATCATTTGTTACTCAAAGTGTTATACAGATTTTGATACATTTCGTGAAGATGTGAAATCGATTATTGCAGAAAATGTTTTTCCTAGGGTATTCGTCTAAATGTTAAAAACACGGAGCTCTGAGTTTTGCTGACTTCATTGGTCTTAATTGAGTTTGACAAACTTTTAAAACCATAAAGCTTCATTAAAACACATTTCTCTGATTATGTTTTAAACAGACTAAGTATGACACACTGTTGAAACCGATTTGTCGTCTTTTTTTCTTTTTCTTTGTGATTCTTAAATTGTTGAACAAACGATTTGTGAATCTTAAAACTTGAGTTTCACTTAGTTTGTTTAACTACATTTCATTTTATTTGCTCACTGATTTTGTTTTAACTATTATTCATTTTATTTACTCAACGTTCAAATGAAACATGGAGCTCTGAGTTTTGATGAGTTCATTAAGACATGTTTCACTGATTATGTTTTAAACAAACTGAGTATTACAAACTGTTGAAATTAATTTTTCATGTTTTTTTTTCTTTTTCTTTGTTATTCTTAAATTGTTGAACAAATGATTTGTGAATCTTAAAACATTGGTTTCACTTGGATTGTTTAACTGCATTTCATTTTATTCAAAGAAGTCACCAATAGACGATCACTCAACAAGGTGTGTAACTTTGTCGCTTTTGTTTTACAAATTGAGCCAAATGGAATCGAAGAATCCATATTCAAAGAATACTGGTCATTTGCAATGCAAGAAGGATTAAATCAATTTAAACGGAACAACATTTAGAAACTCGTTCTCAAAGCTACCGCTAATCTAGTTATTGGAACCTGGTGGGTCTTTCGCAACAAGTTGGATGAAGATGACAATATTTTAAGAAATAAAGTCACACTCGTTGCGAAAGGATATAATAAACAAAAGGAAATAAATTTCAATTATGCTTCTGTAACTAGGTTAGAAGCCATAAGGATGTTATTACCCTTTCATGCATCATGAACTCTGAACTATTCCAAATGGATGTAAAAAGCATCTTTTTAAATGGTTACATTGAAGAAGAGGTATTTATTGATCAACCTCCAGGTTTTATCAACCCTACTTTTCGGACCATGTCTTCAAGCTTAAGAAGGCATTATATGGTCTGAAACAAGCTCCTAGAGCATGGAATTACCGGTTAGGTAAACTTGCTTGAAAACAATTTTCAGAGAGGACAAGTTGATAAAACACTTTTCATCAAGAAAATTGAGCATGGAATTTTACTAGTTCAAATCTATGTTGATAACAGTAACTTCGATGCTACCAATGGATCCTTGCGCAAGGATTTTCTAAAATGATGCAGAATGAATTCGAAATATCCATGATGAGAGAGCTAAAATATTTTTAGTACTTCAAATCCATCAAACAAAAGGAGTAACATTTATAAATCAAGCTAAATATTTCAAAAATCTACTAAAGAGATTTGACATGGAAAAATATAAAATACTAGCAACCCCAATAACAACATTATGTCCCCTAGACAAAGATGAAAACAAAAAACAAGCCAAATAAAGGAAATATCAAGGTATATTTGACTCTCTTCTTTACCTAAATACATATCATTGTGACATAAATTTTGTTATATGTATGTGTGCATGCTTTCAAGCATCTCCAAAAGAATCACATTTTAACGTTGTCAAGTGCATTATGAGATATCTCACTGGCACACAACAAATGGGTTCATGATACCCTAAAAGAGTGGATTATAACTTAGTTGGGTACTTTGATTCTGACTTTGATGGGCGCGAGATGGATAGGAAAAGTATCAACGGTACATGTCACTTACTTGGGAGTCGCTTGTCTCATGGCATATCAAGAAACAAGCAAGTGTAGTGTTATCCACAACTGTGGCATAATACTCTTCTACGTGAAGCTGTTGCGCTTGAATCATATGGATGGAACAACAACTTAAGTGAATACAGTGTCAGACATGGAGTTGTACCAATAAGATGCGATAACATCAGCACCTTAAACCTCACTAAAAACCTGATACTTCACTCTCGAGCTAAACACATTGATATTAGGCACAACTTTATTAGATATCATGTCGAAAAAAGGAATTGTATACTTAATTTTATAGATTCATATAATCAACTCGCATATATTTTATTGGACCACTTCCTAAAAAAATCTTCTTTTTCATTAGAACTGAACTATGAATTTTAAACCAATCATGCATGAACTAATATATGTGAACCTATGTGCTTATGTTTGCATCTTTTCACCATTTTGATTTCGAAAAAGGGGGAGAAGTATACTCTCAGGGGAATTAGGATATATTTTCTATTTAACTCAAGGGGCAATACTACAAAAAGTAGATACAATGTCACCACCTTTAGCACGACCCTTCAAAAGACCGTGGTGATATCTCTAAATTCAGGTGCCTATATTTTTTTAAACTAAATGTTGTTAATTTATTACCATTGTTTTATAAACAATCATGGTGATATAATTTGACCTTATATGAGTTCGACTCACAATGCCTGCTAATCCGTGATTTCTTTAGAATTTAGCACGACCTTTCATTTTTATTTGAAAAAGAAAGATATATCACAATGGTTCTTTAAACTAACAGTTGTGATATATTTTCTATTTTTTAATTTTTAATTACTCAAAACCTGACACTTTTTTTAATAAAATATCATTAATGTAAATATTATATCACCACAGTTGATTAAGAAAATCGTTGTGATATATATTTTTATTATGTTTTAAAATATTTATTTGTTTAAGACACAACTCTTTTTATGAATTTCATCATATAAGAAACAACTGTGGTGATATCATTTAATCAATTTACGCAGAGCTAGCTAACTTGTCTCTTTAGTTGCATATTTTCATTTCTATCAAGAAACAATCCCTGACGAAACAACTCAATTTTCAACCCTAACGAAACGTACAACACTATTTCAACCCCAACGATACAAAACCAGTTTCAACCCTAACGAAACGTTCAACACCATCTTCAAACCTGGAGAAACAACAACGTTTTTAACTAATGTCTCTGCTTTCGTACCGTCGAGGAGTGAGCCGACACTGTGTTCTTCGTTCTT